GCGCGATGATTTGCGATGGTTGGTTGCCCCCGTCCCGTTGCCCTGGGGTCCAAAACCCTGTTAGAGGAGTGGGGGCGGGGGACGAGCTCGTCAACGCACCTCCAAGGCCATGAGAGCCTCGAAATCTACGACCCGTGCCCTCCAAGATGCCTCCCAAGATAACTTGGGAAGGGCCCCCAACAGGCCGGAGAAGCCTTTTTTTGTTGTAAGAGCGCTCAAAGCACTGCCCCAAGACGGCCCCCGAGAGGACCCAAGAGGCCCCCAAGAGGCCCCCCAAGAGGACCCCAAGAGGACCCCAGAAGAACCCCCAAGCGGGCCCCGCTTCGCAAAGCCCATCGCTGGCACCCCAAAGTGTTGAACTTCTTTCGCGCTCTCGCCGACTCTCGGCTATACGCAAGAGTGACCCTGGGTAAGAGTGACCTTTGGTGCGCGGCATTAGTAAGGCGCGGGGGAGCCAAACCCAAGCGCGCAAGCCGCTTATATCGCAGCGCGTTCGGCGATTCGGGGACCCTTTTGGGCCCGCACTAAAGGTGACTCTGGCGAAAGGTCACTCTTACGTCTAGCCGAGACTCGGACCTCTGCAAAAGCCCTCGACGGCCCGCAGGGGGCCGCCCCAGACCAGCCCGTGACGGCGCCAACAGGCCCCCGAGAGAGGCCTCGGCGACGGCCCCAGGGGGGCCCGAAGACGGGCCGAGAGGCCCCCGCGCACCCCGAGGCCCGAGGGGGGCAGAGGAGGAGGAGAAGCTCGCAGGGGCCCCAAGGGGAACCCTCCCTCACGAGACGGCCCCAGGGAACACTGAAGCCACCTCCCTCCTCCCTCCTCCCTCCTCCCTCCTCCCTCCTCCCACCTCCCTCCTCCCTCCTCCCTCCCCGGAGCCCTGAAAAGGCTTCCACTGGGCCGCCCCCGAGGCCTCCAAGAGGGCCCCAGGGAGCCCCACAGCAGGTGCGGAGGGAGAGGCGGGCAAACCAGCCACAGCCACAACCGAGGAGCACGGCGGGAAGAGGCAAATCACACATCTACGACATCGGAGGGCGAACATCTTCTCTTTTTCGGGGTCGGCGGGATGGCGTAAGCCGCTTGCGTATCCCCCGAACCATACTTGCGCTTGTGGGGCCCTCGCGTCGCGTACTCGAGGTACTTGGTTGGGTAAGCCGGATTGTCGGCTGGTGCCTGTTTCTAGGTCGGGCATGTTCACCCTACAGGCCGATTTTCGACGAAGAATTCAAATTATAGCCGGAGTGCAGTATCCCCAAACAGGGTTTTTTAACCCACTGCGGTTTCCAAGGTCGATTGCGTACCCGGTGCAGAGGGGCATGGCATGTTAGAACATGATAGCATGATGTTTGCACATGAGTGTTTACACGAAAACTTGTTTACACGAAAACTGCTGTGACACAAATCCACGTCACACTCGCTTCCCGTTTGGTCCTCTCCTGCAACTCCCTTCCTTCTCCCTCCTCCTCCTCCTCCTCCTCCTCCTTCTCCTCCTCCTCCTCCTCCTCCTCCTCCTCCTCCTCCTCCTCCTCCTCCTCCTCCTCCCCCTCCTCCTACCTGCTCCCTCATCCACAGCATCCCTCCTCCTTCTCCCTTCCATCTCCTCCTCCTTCTCCTCCTCCTCCTCCTCCTCCACCTCCTCTTCATCCCGAACGGCATCTCGGAACCCAGAGTTGCGAGGATGTATGTCTCCAGCGTAACGGACTGGACCACGCGCGCGGCATCTCGGACCCCAGGGTTGCGACGATGTCTCAGGCGAAACGTGCTGCGAGGAAGTCTCAAGCGAAACGGGCCGGACCACATCGAGCGCGGCGTCTCAGAGCTCCGAGTTGCGGGGGCCTCCTGGGGCCTCCTGGGGCCTCCTGGGGACCTCCTGGGGCTTTCTCCTGGGCCTCCTGTGGCCTCCTGGACCCCACCTGGGGCTTCCTGAAGCCTCTTGGGGCTCCCAGGGGGGGATATCGAACATGTGGCCGTCTGGGCCCCCCCAAAATGGGGGGGGCCACAAGAGCGGGAAAAATCAACGGAATCGGCACCGGATGTATATCAACTTGACACGTTCTGATAGGGGGCCTTCTGGAGCCTCCACGGAGCCTCATGGGGCCCCAGAACGGCCCAAGAGGCCCCCAAGACGGCCTCCAATACGGCCCTGGAGAACCCTAAGAGGGTTCCAAGTCGGCCCAGAGAGGCCCCCAAGACGGCTTCCGCCAGGCCAGGAATGCCCTGAGACGGCCGAAGAGGCCCTCGAGAAGACCCAAAAGGCCCCGAAGACACCAAGGAGGCCCCCAAGATGCCTCCAAGACGCTCCCAGGGAGCTCTCAGGAGGCCCAAGAGTGCCCCCAGAGGCTCCCCGAGATGCCTCCTCCTCCTCCTCCACCTCCTCCTCCTCCTCCTCCTCCTCCTCCTCCTCCTCCTCCTCCTCCTCTCCTCCTCCTCCTCCTCCTCCTCCTCCTCCTCCTCCTCCTCCTCCTCATTCTCCGACTCCTCATCCTCCTCCTCGTGATCTTCCCCGCCATCCTCCCCCAAGTGATCCCCGAAGGGTTTCCACAACCGTTGGGGGAACACATGGTTCGATAGCTTGGCAGAGCTCTTGCCACGACGCTCGGCCACATGGGCGATTTCAAAAGGCAGGTGGCGGCGGTGATTCGCCGTAGGCGTCTTCGATATCATAACTAGTTTTTCTGTATCAGCAAGGGTCCAGAGTGCCTAATCACGGCTACACTTCGAACGGCACAGGGCAGCTGGCTTGGGTACCCGTCGACACGCATGCAGCAGTAGGTGTGGCCCAAGCTACCCAGACGTTCGTTTGCCGGCACTTCCTTGCAAAACTGAAGTGGGCCCACCATGACATCTCACCCATGACGCCTGCAAAGGCCAAGCCTTGCGGCAAAGGCTGACGACACCTGAACTAGAAAAAGAAAACTTGCGTAAACATAAACTGTCGGCAATCCGCACGGAATTCTTGGATCTGCGGCGGACCCCGCTCCCTGGCGCGCGGAGAGCGCCAGGGGCAGCGCCGGAGGCGCCACCACGGGGGCCCCAGCGCGGATCCAAGAAATCCGCGCGGAGCGCCAACAGTTTATGTTTATGGCGTTTTTTCTTCTTCGGTGAACCCTGCCATCAAAAATAGAAGGTATGCGCGTCACGCACCGCAAACTAGTCCAAGCCAGAGGAAACCACAGCTGAAAGCGCTTTGGCGCTTTGCCTTCAGCAGCATGCTGCCAAGCGGCGAGCTTGGCTCACCACAGTTTGAGTCGTCGAAATCGCAAGCCTCCATCACGCTGGGCTCCGCGGCTTTCTCGTGGCTCGCCTCCTGCAGCATAGCACGCTCGCGTTTTCTCTTTAGCAGCATGGTGTCCAATGGCGACGAAGGTTCGCTGTAGTTTCCCGAGGCGGACTCGATACGGACGGCGGCCACGTCCTGGCTCGCCTCTGACAGCACGATCTCGATGGACGCAAGACTCTCGTCGTCGGCCGACATGTTGCTATTATCACCCAAGTCACACTGGTACTGGTGCTGACCTTGGTTTGGTGGGAACGCTGAAGTGTCCTCGTCCGGCGTCGGCGGAAAGAGGCATCTACTCTTCGACGTCGGAAGAGGCAGCCCACGAATCACCGACATGTTCAGAGGGGCAGGCCGGCGATTGCGGTACATGTCCACAGAGCTTAGCAAGATGACAGTGCGCGGTGCCAAAGTTCTGTAAATCATAAAACGCCTAAGCCAAAACATGACAGGTACACTGATAACCATAAGCGCCAACGGCAGCGAAGGACAAGCTTCAGCATCTTCGCAACATCGCTTTTCGTAAAGCAAATTCGGCGGTCGACGCCATGGCGGCAATGTCCCGGTCGACGCCATTCAATCACAATGGTTCCCATTGGACATCCCCAGACATCAAAATATCAGATCGGCCGCGAGCCGGGGGGGAAGCGAGAAGGGGCGGGCCTTCTCACGTGAACATTTCTGACAAGCCACGCCGCGTTCTGAGAAGGCCTGCCCACTCTGATGGCCACCCCCCCCACCCCAGGCTTGCCGCCGACCCGAGTCGCCAGCGTGTTCTTATTCGGCGTTTCGACATTGAGCGGAGGGGGGGGGGGGTCAGGTTCCGCACCTCTGCTCAGCGCGACTGTCTGCAGCAGTGTGTCCATTATGGGGAAGACTGCGCCTGCTCGAGACAGGCACCAGGAAACAGGCCAATATCTACTCCATGGGGGGGGGGAAGAAGGGGTGCGAGGGCCCGCGCCGATCGGCAACACAATGCATAAGAAAGGCCCCCCACGAACGCCCGACGCGTCGGCTCTGCCCTCCGCGGGCCCTGCGATACCAGCCTCTTGGGTGCCCTGGGGCCTGCGAGACCTCCACGCCTCCGCGCTCCTGTGGCCACGATCCTTCCTTCAGCGCGTTAAGTGTTCGCGCAGGACCACGACCCCTTGCAAACACTTGCTTTTACATCGGCGTCTAGGCAGAGCAACTGCGCTGGCGGAACAGCAGTGACAACGGGGATGCCGTGGAAGCGAACGGCGCCACCATGCAGGAAAATAGAAGGGGACAGGGAGGGCGGGCGAAGGAGGGGAGAGGGAACAGGGGCCGCTCAGGGGGACGGGTCACACCCGAGCGAGTGGCGCGGTCGGCCCCGCCGGCGGGGGAGGCGGCGGCTGCTGCGCCGCAACTCCTTGTAACAGCATGGATCCACGGTTCCAGAGGCACGGGCCCTCCTCTAACATACACTGCACCTCCGCACGGGAGCTGCAAGCATGAGTGGCTTCAACAATGATCTCGTTGGACGCCTCGCACAGGAATGTGCATTGCTTCGGCCGTTTGCCTGCTTGCCCAGGGCGCAGACGAGCGACGAGGAAAAACGGGTCTCACGCAAGGTGGCATGACGATCTTACGTGGTGGCTTACGCGGGTCGCCAGAGCAATACGCTGCGTTGGCCAAACCTGGGGCTCACGCGCCACCTTACGCGGGCAGCTTCCGCGCGAATTTCCCCGAAAGCGAGCCCTCTTTCTCGATTATGTCGTCGCTCATGTGGAGAAGATGGGGGGCTCACCTCAGGCTGCTCCGCTCGACGGAAAAAACACTCACCACACCGCGCGGGGACCTGCAGCCTGCCGCGCGAGAGCACGGCCATTTTGCTCATACCGGCCAACGCGCTCGTGCCCGCGCCTGGGGGCGCGCTCGCCGCCTTGACGGGGAGCCAATCCTGGAGGAAGAAAAACACTGCATTGGAGGCCTCCTAGACGGGGTCCGAGTAGATGGTGTCGAAGGGTCGCGGCGCACCGCCCATGCATCGCCAATGTACCGGCGATGCATCGGCGATGCGTCGGCGACCTCGGCGACGCATCGGCGACGTCGGCGTAGGAAAGCGCGGCCTCCACATCGAGCCGCATCGTCGATGCGTCGGTGATGCAGCGCGATCCTCCGACTCAATCTCCTTCGACCCCATCCAGGAGGCCTAGATGCATAACTGCATGGGGGGCGCGGAAACATGGATTAGCGATCCATGGATTCGGCGCGCGGTCATGCGGCCGGTGCCGCCTCCTTCGGCGGCGGAAGTCCGCAATTTCCCCTGGTAACGGGACCCGTCGCTGATCCACGCCCCCTTGATCCATGTCTGCGATCGCCTGAATTACCCAGGGGGGCGAGGTGGGTTGGGGCGCCTGGTAATGGTAACGCTGGGGCGTGGTGGGGAACGTCGGGGCGGGGGTGCGCTGCGATCGCCATCGGAGGCGCGCGAGCACCAATTCGCTGGCCCAGCGGGCCAGGGGCGTGTGAAGATATCTGGCAACAGGTTAGCAGTACTTCTAGTTCGCGCGCGCGTGGCGGCCCCAGGGGACCCCTGGACGCAGAGTACCCCGGCCGATGCCCGGGCGATGCCCGGCTGACTCCCCCCGGGCGCTTCAGGAGCGCACGAACAGGGCGCCAGGACGCCCCCTACGCGGCCCAGAAATGGTTTCGAGCATGCGGAAAGAAAAGTGTCGAAAGAGTGTCGAAAGAGTGTCGAAACAGTGTCGGACGAGTGTCTCGCAGGGCCCGACACGTGAAAAGCCTCGAGTTTGGGTACTTTTTCTCCAAATAGGCTTGCCCTATAGGAGTCCTAGCTCATCATAAGTAGTTGGTCTTTAGGCCCCCCCCTTTTTCCAATGGCCCCCCTCTTTTTTCCGATGGCACTCGCTTGCTTGCTCTTGCGTGCTTGCTGTCGCTTGCTTGCTCTTGCTTGCCCTTGCTTGCTTGCACTCGATCGCTGGATCTTGCTTGCTTGTTATTGCTCGCTTGCGCTTGCTTGCTTCCGCTTGCTTGATTCTGCTCCTGCCGTCCTCCTCCCGTTCTGCCCCCGTCCTCCTTCCGTCCTCCTCCCATCCTCCTCTCGTCCTCCTCCTGTCTTCCACTCTATCTGGAGTCAACGCTGGCTGATATTTGGTGCTCGAAATTCTGCGTGGTGGTCAAGGCTAAAGTAGGTTGGAACATCACAGCCCAAGAGACCCCGAGTCGCCGAAAAATCGTTCCAAGACGCGCAAGATGGTCTCCAGATGGCCCCAGAGACCGCGAGAAAGCTCCAAGACAGCCTCCTCCAAGAGGGCCCCAACAAGCAAACATCGTTCCATTCCCTTCGGAAAACGTAGATTGTTCCGCGTGTACGACGTTTGGAGGTTCACAGCATCCAAAACTGCCCCAGAGGCTTTCAACATCGTCCCCAGACGGCCCAACACGGCCCCAAACTGGGCCCAACAGAGCCCAAGAGGGCCCCAAGACGGCCCAAGAGAGCCCCAAAACGGCCCCAAGGGGGACCCAAGAGGGGGAGCAGGAACCGAAAGGCCAGCCTTCAGCCCCAAGAGGCCCCCAGGAGGCCCCAAGAGGCCCAAGGGGCACCCAAGAGGCACCCCAAGAAGCCCCAAGAGGCCCCCAAGAGGCCCCCAAGAGGCCTCAAGAGGCCCCACGGCCCCCAAGAGGCCTCAAAACTGCCTCCCAGATCCCCCCGTGAGGTCAACCACGAGAGCCCAACCAACATCCATGAGGCCTCTGACCCACCACCCAGGCACGGTGGCGGGATGGATCGAAGGTCGATCGATAATTAACAACCCCACCCAGCAGCACCGCATTGACAACGATCACTCGGGCCATGGGCAGCGCTCCACTTGGCACTCGTCGAACGACCGGTCCACGACACCCAGGATGGCTTCCAGACGGCCCACGACGCGTACAAGACCCCCCGAGGAGGCCACCGAGAGGCCTCCACGCACTGACAACAGCACCCCGGCGAACGATAGCGGCGAGGCAATCGGGGCCGGCGCGATGAGCGACGCGGTTCCATACTTCTGAGCGGGGAAGGGTCCAGGCCCCTCCTCCCCTCGTGCAATCGTTACTGAAGGGGCCCAGGGACACACAAACGAATACACACACATCCCAGGATTCCCCATATTTCTGAAATATTTTGTGGGTTTTCGTCTTCCCCCCCACTGTTCATATCTTCCCATATTCTCCTGGGACGCGACGGTTTATTTTGTCCGTGTGTTCTTTCTCCCGTCTTTAGGGAGCCCACAAAGGACGTACGCGCCCACCTATGTACATGAACACGGCCCCTTGATCCGCGAGACTGGCCGCGTTATACGAACATTTGCGCAATCGTACTCTCGAAACCAGCGTGGATTCATGTACGTATACGTCCTTGTTTTGCTCCTGAGTCTTGGGTTACCGTTACCCGGGGGGGAAAGGGGCTTGGCCCGGAGAGCGACCGTGACGCGCCAAAGGCTAAACACACAGTCTCTCCCCCGTCGAAATCCTTTAAAGGGGCCCTGGGACACACAACTAGATACACACAAATAACAGGATTCCCCATATTTTCACATATGTTCTGGGTTATTGTCTTCCCCCCCACTTCCCATATTTCCCTGTATTTTCTGGAGAATCGACGATTCATTGTGTTTGTGTGTTTTTTCCCCTCCTGATCCTTACACCTCGACAGCCCAGGGAGAACGCAGAACTCGGTGCCGTCCCAGCTCTGCCGAAAGGCCTGCGGCTCCGACGCCATGGCGGCGATCGCCACCCCGGCCTCGGTGCCAGGCGGGCACGCGGCGAGCACCTGGTCCAGCGAGAGGGGCTGGTCGGCGAGGCATCGGGGAGCAAAGCACGACACGACCATCAAGACGTTTGGAGGCCCGCGCGGATCTTTCCCGGCTCGGCGCTGGCGCGCTCTCTGCGCGCCCGGGAGGCGGGCCCCGGCGCCGATCCAAGAAGCACCGCGCGGACCTCCGACAACTGGCCGACCTTGGAAACCATGAACCCGAAGACGTCTTCACCCCCCGGGGGCGCACCTTTTACTTCCGCCGCCCTCCACCGCCCTGCCGCCGACCTGCCGCCCGCGGAGGCGGCCTCGTCTTACCTCCGCCGCCCTCCGCCCACCTCCCGCCGCCCCTCCGCCCGCGGAAGCAGCGCTGACGGCTCCGTCGACCCTCGAGGGCGAGGCCCTTCCCTTTTGGAACGCCGCCAGTGGTGCTCATGCCGTGGCTGGCTCCCCGAGAGGCACGCACGCTTCAGCACCTCGCACAGCTCGCTGCCGGGCCCCTCCGCCCTGGCGCCCTCCGGGGCCTCCGGCGCGGGCCGCGCTGGCGGCGGCGCCGCCGGGGCGAGTGGGCCCGCCCTCTCGGCGAGCCAGGCCTTCCAGGCCTCCTTGGCCGACGCCGCCACCGCGGCCTGATCGCCCGAGCGCCCGAGCGCATGGAAGCGCTGCCAGGTGGTGCTCCAGGCGTGCTGCCAGAGCTCCTGCTTGGACATCGCGGCGAGCCGCTCGGCCGTGAGCCCGTGGCCGCGCGGTGCGCCGGCTGCTCCCGGCGGCGCCGCGGCGGCGCCCGCGCCGCTGCCGCCCTCCTGGAGGCCCGGCGTGCGCCACGCGTTCTCGAGCGCCGCCTCGTCTGGGGGCGCCTCGCGGCAAGGTCCGCCCACGGGCGAGGCGCTGCGGGACCGCACCCGCGGAGACGGAGCGGCACCGCCGCCGGGGGCCTGCGCAAGGGAAGCGTCGTCGTAGTCGTCGTCGTCGCCGCCGTCGTCGCCGTCGTCGTCGTCGTCGTCGTCGTCGTCGTCGTCGCCGCCGTCGTCGCCGTCGTCGTCGTCGTCGCCGCCGTCGTCGTCGTCGTCGTCGTCGTCGTCGTCGTCGTCGTCGTCGTCGTCGTCGTCGTCGTCGTCGTCGTCGTCGTCGTCGTCGTCGTCGTCGTCGTCGTCGTCGTCGTCTTCGTCGTCGTCGTCGTCGTCGTCTTCGTCGTCGTCGTCGTCGCCGCCGCCGCCGCTGACGGCGTTTTCTGACTTGGTGGTGGTGGTCGTCATCGTCGTCGTCGTCGTCGTCGGCGTCGTCGTCGCCCAGGCCTGCTGGGAAACGCTGCCGCCGCCTGGGCCGTCCTCGGCGCCGGCGTCTCGCGCCGCCGCTCTCCGAATGACTTCGTCCGTCCACCGCCGCACCTCGACTGCGGCGCCTGCCTCCGCCAGCTCTGGCGGGTCCCTCGCGGGCTCCAGCGCGGCCGGGGCGCGGCCGGCGTCGTGCGCGGCGTCCTCGTCGGGCGCCTCCAGCAGGAAACCCAGGCAATACACCCACACCGACCCTGACCTCCCAGAGAGCTATTTTTTAGCACTGGAGGCCTAACCCCCCCCCAAAACAAAATGGGCGACACAGCCTAAAACCAAGACGTAGAATAGCTTCGGGATAGGTTTTTACGTCGGGTGCTGTTTTTGTTGCCCTCCTGGAAGGTCCGGGGAACTCGGCCACGCACATCCTGGGCCCAGGATCGGCGTGTCGCCCTCCTGGGCCTGGCCAGCAGAGGCCTGTGCACCGACGCTGGGCCCGAGGCAGGAATGCCCAAGGTCGGTGCGCGTACTCTCGGGGCGCTGCCCCAACACTCCCTCCCTCCCTCCCTCCCTCCCTCCATCCCTCCCTCCCTCCCTCCCTCCCTCCCTTCCCATGGCCTCCCTCCTCCTCCCTCCTCCTCCCTCCCTCCTCTCCCTCCTCCTCCCTCCCTCCCTCCCTCCCTCCCGCCCTCCCTCCCTCCCTCCCGTCCCTCCCTCCCTCCTCCCTCCATCCCTCCCTCCCTCACTCCCTCCCTCCCCCTCCCTCCCTCCCTCCCTCCCCCCTCCCTCCCTCCCTCCACTCCTCCCTCCCTCCCTCATCCCTCCCTCCCTCCCTCCCTCCCTCCCTCACTCCCCCCCCTCCCTCCTCCTCCTCCTCCTCCTCTCCTCCCCTCCTCCTTCCTCCTCCTCCTCCCTCCTCCTTCCTCCTCCTCCTCCTCCTCATCCTCCTCCTCCTCCTCCTCCTCCTCCTCCTCCTCCTCCTCCTCCTCCTCCTCCTCCTCCTCCTCCTCCTCCTCTCCTCCTCCTCCTCCTCCTCCTCCTCCTCCTCCTCCTCCTCCTCCGCCTCCCCTCCTCCTCCTCCGCCGCCTCCTCCCCTCCTCCTCCCCCTCCTCCCCCCTCCCCCTCCCACTCCCTCCCCTCCCTCCCTCCCCTCCCTCCTCCCTCCCGCCGCCTGCCCTCCCTCCCTCCCTCCCTCCCTCCCGCCCTCCCTCCCTCGCTCCTCCCTCCCTCCTCCCCCCTCCCTCCATCCCCACTCCCTCCTCCCTCCTCCTCCCTCCCTCCCTCCCTCCCTCCCTCCCTCCCTCCTCCTCTCCCCTCCTCCTCCGCCTCCTCCTCCTCCTCCTCCTCTCCTCCCTCCTCCTCCTCCTCCTCCTCCTCCTCCTCCTCCTCCTCCTCCCTCCTCCTCCTCCTCCTCCTCCTCCTACCTCCTCCTCCTCTCCTCCTCCTCCGCCTCATCCTCCTCCTCCTCCTCCTCCCCTCCCTCCTCCTACCTCCTCCTCCTCCTCCCCTCCTCCTCCTCCTCCTCGAGGCATCCTTCCCTCCCTCCCTCCCTCCCTCCCTCCCTCCCTCCTCCTAATCCTCCTCCTCCTCCTCCTCCTCCTTTTCCTCCTCCTTTTCCTCCTCCGCGCCCCACTCTCTTCGAGCCGGATCGATCTGGGAAGGCCGCATGGGGCCCGCAGCCGAGCGAGCACGTCCGCTGCGACCACGGATGTCAGCGCCCAGAGTGGAAGGCGGGTTCGTTAGCAGGGCCCGACCGCCCCGGCATTCCAGTAGGCCTACCACGAAATGCTCCTAGAACGCAGAAATGTTCTCATAACAAAAAAGAAAAAGAAACAAGCAGTTCCTAGAACACAACCCCGGTGTGTCAAAGCAAGACGGCCTCAGCCAGACATGTGCTGAGAACACGTCGTGCAGACCACCACACGGATCTTTAGGGGGCCACATACGAACCCCACCCCTACCCCCCACGATTTCTGAGGGCGAAGTGAACCCCACCCTCCCCCTCAGAAATCGTGGGGGGTAGGGGTGGGGTTCGCATGTGGTCCCCTAGATTGTAATCTTAGAACACTCTCTGGTGGGCCTATAGGCAAGCCAGGACGCTTCGCCACTGCTCGACACAGCTGGCTCCCTCGCCGGGCGCCTCCGCTTTCGCCGCCACGTGCGCGGCCCCCGGGCCCGCAGCGCCCGCCGCCCCCGCCAGGGCCTCGAGCTCCTGCACCACCGCGCGCTCCTCGGGGGACGCGGCCCCGCGCGCCGTGGCCACGGCGCCGGCCCAGGCCCGCTGCTCCAGTGTGGAGGCGCTGCCGCCGTCCGCCTCCTCGGGAGCCAGAGAGCCAGCGCACTGAAATCGAGGCGGCGCTTCTTCGCAACCTTCGGCCTCAAGTACAGGGGCCCTCGCCGGGCGCCGGGACTGGCAGACATCGGCTCAGGATGAAAAGACGGTCCTCAGGAATGGGGGGCCGTGCCAGGGGTGTGCCGAAATCGGCGGCGCGGACGCGGAGGGGGAGGGGGAGGAGGAGGAGGAGGAGGAGGAGGAGGAGGAGGAGGAGGAGGAGGAGGAGGAGGAGGAGGAGGAGCAGGTGGGACGCGGGGCGCCGTCTCTTCAAAACGAGGACCCAACACCACAGGATGGTTGGGAATAACGACTCGGGATGAAAAGCCGGTCCTCGGGAAGGGGTCGAGACTTCCGGGGGCCTCGCATGGAAAAAAGCACGGCATCGGCTCCCTCTGGGGAGGAGGCAGCCCGGACCTCCGACGTCCTCGGATGTTTTTCAACGCGGGGCCTCGGGAGCGCTGGCTCACGTCTGGGGGGCTGCTTTGCCGCCCAGGGAGGTGATCTGGCGGCCGCGGGGGGGGGCTTGCGAGGGCCCCCCGACGCCCAGAGCGGCGACGAAAAGTCCGCCTCACACCGTTGGAGGCCTGGGAAACGTGGCCCACTGCCGCCGAGAGCCCACCCCTCGAGGGTCGATGGGGGGGAGTTTTTTTTTTTTTTTTTTTTTTTTTTTTTTTTTTTTTTTTTTTTTTTTTTTTTTTTTTTTTTTTTTTT